TAACTTTTTTGGTTGCACAGTAGATTAAGGTTTTGAGCACCACCACTGACTGTGCTATATTTAGTTGTCTCTCTTGGTGGCAATGCAATAATTGAAAACTTACAAGTGAAAACATCCCTCCCAAATTTAGAATTTTTTTTAATGAATTTCACAGTGGTGCTTCACTTGATTTCTGTGTTGTTGGACAATTCTGTGGTTACAGCGTCTTTTTTGTGCTTTAGTAATTACTCCCTTCTGGGATGTAGGTCCAAAACAGAAACGGCTTATATGGAATTCCCAGAATTCTTAGGGTGATATTTTAGTGTTTATCCCAGTTTATTAACATAGCTTTATGAATTTGAATGTTGTATGTCTGCATTTCTAAATAAATTTAATCTGTAGGTAGACTTCCCAAAATTCTTGAGTGATATTTTTGCATTATCTCAGATGGCTGATGGCTATTTCCAAAGTTGCGAGAGTTTTCTATATTCAATCTGTATGTTGTGTAAAGGAAACAGAAAAACCTGTAAAATATTTTTCTTCATGTAAATTTGGATTAAGATCCTTCATGTAGATCTTCAGAAGGCTTTGTGCTTTTACTTTTTCCTTACAAAAATTCTTTAAGATAAAAGTTTTTTGTGGGCATAAGGCATCATTTATTGGTTTATGATTTCCTAAAGCCATCCATTTTATATATATATATATATATACACACACACACACATATATATATATATATAAGTTTTATCTAAAATGAGGTTTCATAACGTATATAATTCACAGGATCCTATCTTGCATTTGAGTTATTTTGCCTATTTTCCCCCCTCTTAGGTATCTGCTTTTGTTTTTGGTTCTTTTTGCTACAAGTCTTTTTTTTTTTTAAGATTTATTTATTTATTTATTTATTTATTTGAAAGGCAGACTTACAGAGAGGCAGAGGCAGAGAGGTCTTCTATCCACTGGTTCACTCCACAAATTGCTGCAATGGTCAGAGCTTTGATGATTTGAAGCCAAGAGCCTGGAGCTTCTTCTGGGTCTCCCACATGGATGCAGGGGCCCAAGGACTTGGGCCATCTTCTACTGCTTTTCCAGGCCATAGTAGAGAACTGCATATGAAGTGAAACAACTGGGACTCAAACCAGTACCCATGTGGGATGGCAGCACTGCAGGTGGCAGCTTTAGCTAATATGCTACTGTGCCAGCCCCTATAAGCTTTTTAATTTCATTTGTCTTTACTATTTTTATTTTTCTTAGAGTTTGGTAGTCTACTGCTTATCCTTCTGTAAATTACCACAAAGGTGACCAAAAAAAATCAAATTGGCACTGATATCATACTAATTTTAGTAAGGATACTTTTACCAGTACTACTGAAGAGAAGGAGTTAATAATTTGTGGTTACCTTTGCTATCTTTCTAGCTTCTCTGTGAATAAGGTTTCACATCTAAAAATGTTTTGAAAATTCTTAAAATTCATGGTTCTCATTTTTCCCTAACAGACACTCTTTAAGAAAACATTTATGGTTTAATTCTATAGTTCCTTCTTTTTCATTTATTAGATATAATAAAATGTTCTCCCCAGCCCAAGGTTTCTAGGCATGTGTAGAATGTAAAAATAAGCAATTAAACAGGGCAGCTAAAATTCCACAATGAAAGTGGGAAAAAGAAAAAAAAAACGTTTAGGGCTTTATTTAGTAAAAAATGACAAACTGAAAAATAGATCCTGCTCAGTGTCCTAAGGTTAACAAATTAGAGCTGTGCTGAATTGGACAGGGAGGGAATTCCAGAGATAAACCAGGCTCTGATGGACTGACAAGGAAAGGAATTCAAAACCTTGAGCCAAGGAAGGAATTTCACAGGAAATAGCCAACCTTGTTATGCCCAGAATTCTCTGACAACTGTCCCCAGGGCACTGCATTTGATATTACGTAATGAGCAGAGGACGTATAAATAACTTGATTAAACTGATAGGTCGAGGCCAGTAATCCTTTGCGTACATTCCAGTGCAGCCCTTGAGCTGCCTGATGAGGAGCAGTGACCCAAAAGCTCGCATCGGGACAGCACCTAGCTAAGGTTCCCAGCCAGCTTTCTTCTTGTCCTGCGTCTGCTCTCCGCAGTGTCTGCACAGCATATACTCAGCACTGTGTGGAGGGGTATGGTCCACTCAGCTACTGGCACCCCTTACCACGCATGTTCAGAGGAAGCGAGGCCGGCCGTCAGGACACGGAGATGTCTCTCCACACTCCTGAGGAACTCTCATCTGAACTCCCACAGAAGTCTCCTCAGCTGTCCTCTTGCCTCAGCCCCATCTGTTCTCCACAGTTCAGCTTGTTTGAATTCCTTGTCTAAGGATTTGTGTTCTTAAAATACAAATCAAATGTCCTTACCCTTTGGTGGCCCTCCACTGTCAGGAGGATAACAGGCAGTCTACATCAAGGTGTCTCTGATGTGATTACTGCCGCTTTCCTCCCTTGCTCATTATGCTGGCCCTCTTGCTTGTCTCCCCCCCCCCCCCCCCCAATATCCAGGTTCTTCAGTACCTCAGGACCTTGTCAAGTGCTATTTCATTTGTCTAGAATGTTCTTTTTTTCCTAATCTTTATCTTTTTCATTCTTCCTTATCCTTTAGGGAAAATTGAAATGCCATCTGCCCATCCACAGTGTGTTTTTCAAGCACCCTAGCAGTCTCCATCTGAACACCTTGTTTGAACTGTTGCCACTCTTTTTTTTTTTTTTTTTTTTTTGACAGGCAGAGTGGACAGTTAGAGAGAGAGAGAGAGAAAGGTCTTCCTTTTCTGTCGGTTCACCCCCCAGTGGCCACTGCGGCTGGTGTGCTTTGGCCGGTGCACCGCGCTGATCCGAAGCCAGGAGCCAGGTGCTTCTCCTGGTCTCCCATGCGGGTGCAGGGCCCAAGCACTTGGGTCATCCTCCACTTCACTCCCTGGCCACAGCAGAGAGCTGGCCTGGAAGAGGAGCGACCGGGACTAGAACCCTGTGTGCTGGCGCCGCAGGCGGAGGATTAGCCTAGTGAGCCGTGGCGCCGGCCTGAACTGTTGCCACTCTTAAGTGTGTGTGTGTGTGTGTTTGACCTTCCCCACCATCAGAATGTACCTCCGTGTGTTCTGGGACTATGTATGTCTTTTTGACTGGTGTGACTCCATCTCCTGGAATGGAGTACAGAATTAATAGTACTCAATAAATCATTATTGAGTAAGTGAAGAGTGGTAGGTGTTTGTCTTTGCTGTTAAAACTCCAGTTAGGATGCCTGCATCTCACTTTGGAGTGCCTAGGTTCAATGCCTGTCTCTAACTTTTAGCCTCCTGCTGGGCAGCAGTGATGGCTCAGGGTGTCTGCTCCCTGTATAAGAGACCTGGATTGCATTTCCAGCTCCTGGCTCAAGGCCTGGCTCAGCCCCAGGTGTAACAGGCATTTGGGAGGTGAACCAAATAAATAAATGAATGAATAATGAAGGAAAAGTAATGATACTATCCATGTACTGTTCCAGGTGATGGGTCACTTTTTTGTGATCCCCCCTCCCTTTCAATATAGGCTTTGTCTATTCAAAAAACAAAACAATCTAACATGTAACATTCCCAGTGGGAAAAGAATAGTTATGATGTGTTTCTTCTCACTTGTGATGTGCTTGCTTGACTTTTTAAAACAACTAAAAGTGTTGGAACTCCATCAGAATATTAAGTCCCTAAGGAATGTGACCTTGGAAATGACATCATCTTCTTGACCTTAGTTGGTTGTGTCTTACATATTTTTTTAAAGATATATTTTTTGCTGGTTCACTCCCCAAATGGACACAATGGCCAGAGTTGGGCTGATCTGAAGCCCAGAGCCAGGAGTTTCCTCTTGGTCTCCCATGCAAGTGCAGGGTTCCAAGGACTTGGATCATCCTCCACTGCTTTTCCAGGCCATAGCAGATAGCTGGATCGGAAGTGGAGCAGCTGGGACTCGAACTGTTCCTCTGCCTTTGGAAGTACTTGAAATTTCCAGTTTCTAATTGTATTGGGATTTTATAGTGAAAATGGGTGTTTTTTTATAGATGCTTCCTACTCCATGTTCTTCCTATCCCATGGGAACATAGGATTTAGCTTTCCTGGGTCTGCTAGGTGAGCAACTGCTTGTTCATCTTCCCACTTTTCAGAAAGTTCACTGTTTTTCCTTGACTGCCTTTTCTCTGCCCTTACTGAGTCGTGCCTTTTTTCTTTCTTTCCTGTAAGTTCACTGGGATTTGGGGTGGGAATGGAGATAAGCGCATGCATTTAATATGCTAAGTTTAACCAGAAGCTTCCCCCAAATCCAATTTAGCTGACTTTTTTATTTTTACCACTTTGTTTGATAGTTCGTGGGTAAATTTTGCATTTGTTCTCCACGTGCTAACTTGCTCTGCCAGATGTTTGAAGATGTCCTTGGGGAAGAAAAATGAGGGTTTTTAAAATGTAATATTCTTGAAATGCTCGCAGCAGTGCAGTGTGTGAGTTCTCAAGACTGTTTCTAACCACCAGACTCTCATAACAGAAATACAGTATCACCCTTATTTGTGTAAGCTATTAGGAGCATTTTTAAATGTTTGTAATAAAGTTTGTGGCTTATTGTTGAAAACTGAATTTAAGGAATCAAAGCTTTTGGTGGCATGCCCCTGACAGCAGGGAGAGCCTGGTAAGTGATCCCTGAGAGCTGATCCAAAAGAATCGTTGAGCATTTTGCCCTGTATTTGTGTTTTGGTCCTTTAATCTGGTAATATTTCCAGTTCCATTCTGAATACCATGGTGCACCATCCATCCCCCACTCAGGTCTTATTGGCGGCATCTGGCAGTGTCTTTGCCAAATGGCCCCTGTTCTGGCATAAGCCTGTCTTTGCCCTCAAGTCTATATGAGTATGAACAGTGATTGTTGGAAAATGGGCATCTTTCAAGATCTTATTCATACCACATTTTTTTCTAGTAATCGAATTGACAGTCGAAAAATTAAAAGAATAAAAGTCACTGAAAAACGAACACCAGTCCTTTCTGCACAGGTTCACCTTTCCTTGCCAGTGAAGACGGTGTGCTTGGTGGAGTGATTGTTCTCCGGTCATGCAGATGTTCTGCAGAGGCTGACTCATCCCAAAATAAGCAGACACTTCTAGGTAAGTTGGAGATGTGTGTGTGTTTCCAATTTTTCCAAGACATGAAAAAATATGTATCCTTAAGTTAGTAATTGTAAGCTCTGGTAGGGTCAGGATGCACTGGTGATACCTAAACATTTATATTCTGATCTTTTTCCATGGGTAAACATATAAAAGATGAATGTTAATTTTTAAGTACATGATCAGAGCATATTTTTCAACTGGATTTGGAACCCAGGACTTTTGCTAAAAGTCTAGTATTAAGAGAACATTGGACCATGTATTCATCTCCTATGTGATTCCACAGAACATTCAGATGACCCATAACTGTGTACACGGAAGTGTAAATAGAGGCCTGTTCCTGTTCCCTTTCCCTAAAAGGGTCAGAACCACATGAAGAGCCTAGGAGTTAGTCCTGGCTACATGACTTAGTAGCTATGATGCCTTTGTGCGTTGGTCTTAACTGTTGTGTACCACTTCCTCATCTGTAAAATAAGGATGTCTGCCCTGCCCTCCTCATAAAACTGTGGTGAGGGGCCGGCGCCGCGGCTCAATAGGCTAATCCTGCACCTAGCGGTGCCGGCACACCGGGTTCTAGTCCCGGTTGCCCCCCTTCCAGGCCAGCTCTGTGCTATGACCCGGGAGTGCAGTGGAGGATGGCCCAAGTGCTTGGGCCCTGCACCCCATGGGAGACCAGGAGAAGCACCTGGCTCCTGCCTTCAGATCAGCGCGGTGTGCTGGCTGCAGCGTGCCGGCCGCGGCGGCCATTGGAGGGTGAACCAACGGCAAAAAGAAGACTTTTCTCTCTCTCTCTCTCTCTCTCTCTCTCTCTCTCTCTCACTGTCCACTCTGCCTGTCAAAAACAAAACAAAACAAAACAAAACAAAAAACTGTGATGAGGGAGAGTGAAACAAGTGTCTTTACAGATTCACAGACATCCATCCAGATGTGTGATTTTTCATCTGGCAAAGCATACCAATGGGATGAAACCCAACCTACCCTCTACTGGCCGAGGTGTGGACTTGTGGGGCTGTCTTTGCCCATTGGGTTGCCTGTTTCAAAGCTGTCCATCCAGAGGGGACACTGTAAAAAAGTCTTTCTAAAGGTAACACCTAAGCTAGGAGGGACTATTTAGGTGATTTTATTAAATTAAATTTTTAATGGAAATATACATACATTCAGAAAAGTCATAGCAGGAACTGCTTGATGACTTCTCACTAAGTGAACCCACGAGCATCCAGATTAAAAACAGAATTTTACCCCAAAACCACCTTGTGACCCCTTTCCTATCTCTATGTGCTCCAGTGGTAGCCAACATGCTGACTTCTAACACCATGGTTAGTTTTGCCTGGTTCCCGTATTTTATGTAAATAGAGTCATAGAATATGAACTATTTGTGTCTGGTCTTCAGTCAGTATTAAGCTTTTTAGATTTATCCATGCTAAATGTGACAGGCATGCTAATTGTTCATTTTTATTGATGTATAATATTCAGATATATATAGCACTATATATTAATCCCTTAATTTTTTTAAAGAATTATTTGTGGAAACTTCAAAACTTTATTTGAAAAATGAAATTCAGAAAGAAGTGTGTAGTTTTTCCATAATAGGTATTTTCCACTGACTTTTTGAAGATCATTTGTAGTTCATCCACAGGGGCTATGATGGTTCAACCTGCCTATAAATTTCCTTATGTAAAGTATGGATGGTGTCTTAACTGTATTCTATGATTGTTTTAAATGTTGTAGTACAAGTGTTTTTATACTCTAAAATTCTATTCATTTATAAAATAATAGACTGTTTCTTATGGCCATAAAAAGTTTTTTTTTCTGTAGAAGCTCAAAGCTTTTTCACAGAATCTCTTCAGTTTTTCTTCAAAGAACAAAAGTGGAGATTTATATAAAAGTTCCTTTTTTCCACTTGAACTGTGACCACCAACCTTTTGCCTAGACTCTTTTTACTCACAGTACCTGATACAAGGTGTCTCAAGGGAGGGTTTGTGGTTTTTTTTTTTTTTCTTTAATTTTTTATTTTATCTGAAAAGCAGAGAGGAGAGAGAGCAAGAGAGGAGAGAGAGATCTTCCATCTGCCAGTTTGCTCTCCAAATGTCTTTTTTAAAAAAATTCTTCTTTTTAAAAAAAGATTTATTTATTTATTATTTGAAAGGCAGAGTTACAGAGGCAGAAGCAGAGAGAGAGAGAAAAATAGAGATCTTCCATCTGCTGGTTACACTCCCCAAATGACCGCCATGGCTGGAGCTGGGCCATTCTGAAGGCAGGAGCCAGGAGCTTCTTCCAGGTCTCCCACGTGGCTGCAGGGTTTCAAGCACTTAGGCCATTTTCTGCTGCTTTCCCAGTTCATAGCAGAGAGTGAGATTGGAAGTGGAGCAGCCAGGACTTGAACTTGCACACATATGGGATGCTGGCACTGCAGACAGCAGCTTTTACCTGCTATACCACAGTGCTGGCCCCTAAATGTCTTTTTTTTTTTTTTTTAAGATTTATTTTATTATTTGAAAGACAAAGTTACAGAGAGAGGTAGAGGCAGAGAGAAAGGTCTTCCATCTGCTGGTTCGCTCCCCAGATGGCTGCAACGGCCAGAGCTGTGCCGATCCGAAGCCAGGAGCCAGGAGCTTCTTCCTGTTCTCGCATGTGAATGCAGGAGCCCAAGGACTTGAGCCATCTTCTATTGCTTTCCCAGGCCATAGCAGAGGGCTGGATCGGAAGAGGAGCAGCTGGGACTAGAACCGGTGCCCATATAGGATGCCAGCACTTCAGGCCAGGGCTTTAACTCACTGCGCCACAGCACCAGCCCCCAAATGTCTTTTAATAGCTGGCCCTGGGCTAGGTGGAAACGAGGAGTCCAGGAATCAATCCCATGTGTGTGGCAGGGACCCAAATACTTGAGCCATCACCATTGTCTTCCAGGATATGCATTAGCAGGAAGCTAGAATCAGCAGTGGCGTTCTGATTCAAACCCAGATACTCTGATATGGGATACAGATATCCCAACTGGTGTTTTAACCACTGCATCAAATAGGTGCCTCAATGAGATGTTTGTTTCAAATGATCATCTTTTGTTAAATCTGCACAAATACAGCGCTTAGCTTTAGTATCTTAATCATTGTTGATTCTTTTGACTTTTATTCCACATTTAGGTAGTAAATAATTGGTTTTAAAATATGCAGAGGATATACCTGGATTTCTATAATAACTCAGAATAACCTTCAGTATTAGGAAGGGAGAAGTTACTAAAACTGCTTTATATATTATTCCTAGGAAGGAGTGTCACAGTTCTTTTCTGAGGCTCACCTCTTGTCAAATGTGGTCAGAACTGAAGACTTCTGACTCGTGAAACAATTGAAAACAGAGCTTGCGTTACATGCTCGTCTTCTTCCCTGCTGGTTTTTGTTGGAATTCAACTCCAACTTGGGATAATGTATTTTAATTTTGCAACATTTAACTCACCATTTAAAAATATTTTTGAGATAACATTTTAAAATTTACACTGTATTCAAATGCTTAACGTTCCACTAAATAACAAGTTCATTGAACAAAGTAAAAAGACCACAGTTAAGTGGGAAAGTAGGCAAGGCCTATAAATAATAACCAGCTGAAAAGATGTTCAACTTTACCTATATAAATTTTCTTTTTTTAAGTAAAATTTAAGACAGTTATAAAATCATTAAAACTGTAGTGCTCTATGATTCTTAATTCATTTGACTAAGATTTTTTTTTTAAACTTTTATTTAATGCATATAAATTTCCAAAGTACGACTTATGGATTACAATGGCTTCCCCCCCATACCGTCCCTCCCACCCACAACCCTCCCCTTTCCCACTCCCTCTCCCCTTCCATTCACATCAAGATTCATTTTTGATTATCTTAATATACAGAAGATCAGCTTAGTATACATCAAGTATGGATTTCAACAGTTTGCTCCCACACAGAAACATAAAGTGAAAAATAATAGATGATTTTTTTTTAAATGATGATGAAATCAGAGCAGACCTATTGTCATGTTTGATCCCAGTGAGAGTCAACTTGGGAATTGATAATTTCTTTTTTTTCTTTTTTTTCTGTTTTACAGAGGATCAGTTTAGTATGCATTAAGTAAGGATTTCAACAGTTTGCACCCCCATAGAAACACAAAGTGAAATATATTGTTTGAGTACTCGTTATAGCATTAAATCTCAATGTACAGCTCATTAAGGATAGAGATCCTACATGAGGAGTAAGTGCACAGTGACTCCTGTTGTTGACTTTACCAATTGACACTCCTGTCTATGGCATCAGTAATCTCCCTATGCTCCAGTCATGAGTTTCCAAGGCTATGGAAGCCCTCTGAGTTCTCCGACTCTTATCTTGTTTAGACAAGGTCATAGTCAAAGTGGAGGTTCTCTCCTCCCTTCAGAGAAAGGTACCTCCTTCTTTGATGACCTGTTCTTTCCACTGGGATCTCACTCGCAGAGATCTTTTGCCAGAGTGTCTTGGCTTTCCATGCCTGAAATACTCTCATGGGCTTTTCAGCCAGCTCCGAATGCCTTTAGGGCTGATTCTGAGGCCAGAGTGCTATTTAGGACATCTGCCATTCTATGAGTCTGCTGAGTATCTCACTTCCCATGTTGGATCACTCTCCCCTTTATTTACTCCATCGGTTAGCGTTAGCAGGTACTAGACTTGTCTATGTGCTCCCTTTGACTCCCAGTCCCTCCACCATGACCAACTGTGAACTGAAACTGATCACCTGGAACAGTGAGATGGCATTGGTACATGCCACCTCGATGGGATTGAATTGGAATCCCCTGGTATGCTTCCAACTCCACCACTTGGGGCAAGTCAGCCTGAGCATGTCCCAAATTATACATCTCTTCCCTCTCCCATTCCCACCACCATGTTCAACAGGGATCACATTTCAGTTAATTTTCAACACTTAAGAATAACTGTGCATCAATTACAGATCTAAACCAGTCATATTAAGTAGAACAAATAAAAAAACTACTAAGAGGGATAATGTATT